GCGCGCTTTACCGACTACCGTTTGAGTCGGGCTAGCATGCGGATTGTTTAAGTCCGTTCGCATGTGACGTTACGGCTAAAAGAGTTACCCTGTTTAGTGCTACGATATTGAATACGTAGACTTCGTCTTTCTCCTGTGAAAAGACTAAACAGCAACGCTGTAATTCAGACGTTGACTTAGGATTTTTGGGCAAATCCTCAGCCTTCAACGGATTTGACATGCTTTTACGATTACACGTTTTGAATCGGGCTTACATGCGGATTATCTTAAGTCCGTTCCGCAGTGACGTTGTGCTAAAGGAATGAACTCCCTTAGACTTGATGCTACGACTTCGAATACGTAGACTTCGTCTTTCTCACGGGAATAGACTACCCGGCGACGCGTGTTAGGCGTTGACTTTAGGATTTTGGCTAACCCCCAGCCTTTAACGGATTTGATTAGCCTTTACCGACTACCGTTTGAGTCGGGTTAGCATGCGGATTGTCTAAATCCGTTGCGCATGTAACGTTGTGCTAAGAGAGTGAATTCCCTTAGACTTTGTGCTATGATGTGAATACATAGGCTTTCGCCATTGTTACGGGAATAGGCTACCCGGCAACGTGTATTGAACGTTGACTTATCCCTACTTAGCTTCGGGACAAAATACCCCAGACTGGTATTCTGGTGTCTTTTTCAATCGTAAAAAGACTAAACCGGCGACACGTGTTAGGTGTCGACATATCCTTTCTTAGGATTCAGGATGACATTCCCATGCGTGTAAGGTATGATTTTGGTGTTATTAATAACAACCTGCCACAATGTTGAATATGTGGACGGATATTCTTTTCAACGGTTAAGAACTAACTGGCAGCGCGGGTTAGGCGCAGACTTATCCTTGCTTAGGTTTCAGGATAGAATACCCCAGAATCAAACTCTGGTGTCTTTTTGTACGGAAAAAGACTAAACCGGCACGCGTGTTACGGCGTTTGACTTATCGCTACTTAGGATTCAGGATAAAATTCCCTGTACCTGTGAGGCACAGATTTGGGATTTGAAAGGTGGTGTCTTCTCTTGGGCAAAGACGAACCCGAATGGGAGAGGAAGAATTTTATATTCTATCTTCCCGACAATGAAGAAGAAGAATTTTATATTTCTATCTTCAACTGGAAAGGAGACTCGAGGTGGGATCTCCACCCCCAGAATCCGGAAAGGTGAAACTGAGAGTGGGATCTCACTCCGAGAATCGAAAGATTCGGATACCCTAACTGTCGAAGGTTTGATTACCGCAACTAAAGATGAATTTCTCGTTTATCGAGAGTGAATCATGGTTTTGACCCTAACTGTAGGAAGGTTTGGCCAAATAGGAGTTTGAGGTGACCCTAACTGTAGGAAGGTTGTCGCGTTGATTTGAAAATGGACCTCTCGTTCATTGGAAGAATCGAGATGGGATTTGACCGTGGTCCTAACTGTAAGAAAGTTTGACCATCCGACCGGATCTAGATCGCACGGTGGTCCACGGCAAACAACCCCGGCGCAGGCAAAGAACCCACAAAAGCGAGCGACCGCAAAACATGAGCTCGCGATTCGTTCGACAAACAAGGAAACAAAGTTGTAATTTTCATTTCTTTTCAATTTGATTTTCGTTGTAACCGGATCTTATAAAAAGACCGGATCTTTGTAATCGATAGACTATTACAAGAGTGTACAATGAAATCATTAATGAAGAAAGCAACGGTTTTTCCCGCGAACATCAGCATGTCATCTTCTGATAGAATATAAGGACACATAACTATTTTTTGATATAATACATGTCATGCATTTAGATGTCACATATCAGTTTTTTGTGCCTTTAGGAGAACCAGCAAGTTCTGATTATATAGAAAGGAGAGATTGGATAGTTTCATTTGTGTTTTACCACATTATGTCTGCTTCAACACTATTCTAATTTTTATATTTTATTATTATTGATCATATGTGTATTCTCTGCATTTGATTTTATTAGCGAGGATTGCTGGAAAAGATTGTTATGTATCATCAGCGTTATGCCCAGTTCTCTGCTATGTATTTAGAGGTTCAGTGGGTTGCTTCTGTGTCCATTTATGCAGCACTGCTTGATTGTAGATCATGTATTCCTGGTCATTTCTTATGCCTTTGGTTATGATTTCAATTTTAGAGGTTCAGTGGGTTGCTTCTGCGTCAATTTATGCAGCACTGCTTGATTGTAGATCACGCATTCCTGGTCATTTCTTATGCCATTAGTTATGATTTCAATTTTCTGCTTTTTCATATCATATGCATTACATGCTCAACTCATATTGATGCCTCCGTGTAACTATCTTTCTTGTGGAATTTTGTGGCTGGCCTTCTTTTGATAACTAAATGCAAATGTCTAATTACCAGCTCTCTGCATTTCATTTTTTGTATTAGTGTGGTGTGGCAAGGGTGAAGCCGACGTTTTGTCTCAAAGATATGCATCCCATGCACTTAATTCGCCTCTTTTTCCATTTGGTCTTTGGGAGAATACTTCACCATAGCCCAATACATGTCTATTCTTTCTCTTGTAGTTGTAGGATTTCTCTGTTTGTATGGTTGCAATCATAATGTGTTGGTTACCTTTATTTATTTCTAAAATATGCAATGCTTACTAATATATTTTATGCTATTGGGTTGTCAGAGATATAATTTCATTTAAATTATGCACTAGTGTCCTTGGGATCAGTAGCCAATTTTATTTGTAAATCATTGGTCATGGCCTTTATTTGTCCTCCTGTTAGTTTGCCAGCAAGGAGAATATGAGACAATGTACTTGCATAAGCAGACAACAGTTTTTCTGATATTTTTATCAGTCATGCATGTTTCCACTGATTTGGACTCAAAAACTTTTTAGGGTGAAAAAAATAATAAATGAGGACCTAAGGCGACAAATGAAAGAAAGTGAAAAAAAGATGCATTTTCTGACGATTCATGCCTAGAGAATAGATACTTATCATGGCTATACTGCACGTTCAAGGGTTCATGTGCCATGTGATCTATCATGTCCCAAAATTTACATCATTATAGACAAAGGTTCAATATTCTGTTGCTTGTGAATGAGAGTATTAACAGGTTAGGCCCACTGCCCCTACCAACCTTTCTGATTCTTTTCAGCTAACTTTAGGAGAAATCATCATAATTCTTCATATAAAAAGTATTCATATCCAGTGCACATCAAATCCAGCTGGAACCAGTGCACATTAATTCTAGCTTATTGTTGGGTATTGACTAATAATAGCACAGAATTTTCAATCAGAGTTCTCAAGGAAGCAGGAGAAATATAGTTTACAACCGACCTTCGAGTGTTTAGGAAGTTGTCGATGTTTTGCTTGAAAAAGGTTGGTTTAACAGCGTAATTTGTTTAATAAACATTATATATCCTAATTTGTGTAACTAATTTATTTAGGGGGACCTATTTAATGATATCAAACTTTGAGGAACTTCTTTTTCAAAATACATGAGACTGGGATCATCATTTGTGGGAGTTCTATGATCACTGATTTATCCTATTAGAAGATGAATAATTTTCTTTCTTTTTCCCTTCTCTTATTGATTTGTAATCAGCTATGTTCCACATTGGAGTTTGTGTTCAGAGCTAGTGGCCTCTTATTGTCATAGGGGAAGTGTTGCAACTCCAATAGCGATTGGTGGTTCATCAAATATACATGATAGAAGGTGCCTGATGTACATTAATCCGATAAGCGCAAGACCTAATCATAAATATCAATTTAAGGGATGAATGATTGTATAAATAAACTCTATGCTTGAGCTTTCTTTAAGCAGAATAGTACTAGAATGAATGAGACCTTGGGAATCCTCAATTGGGCAGTATAAACGGTGCAGATTCAACAATGATAAATAATTTTTTGTGCAGAGTGCCAAAGCAAGTCAAATATCACAGAGCCTACTAGCCCTTCACAAGGGGGTGTCATGCCTATGCAAACTTGAAAAAGAATTCATGATTGTCTTTAACTGGCGGAACCTACTGGAACATTACACAAGGATGTGAGAGCCTATGCAAATTTGCAGAGGCTACCGTGTTTCTATGCCAGGAAGCTGGACACTTAAAACTTTGGGGGTTAATGTGTGTTTATAATGTATCTGACCTTTATAAGCAGAATCACTGTTTAAAATTCCATCATTGCAAACTTCTGATGGCATGCTACACACCTTTTTCTTTCAACCAAGGTTTGTGAATTTTAGCCACTTTTTAACTATCTTTTTTAGAACACCAGAATATGCTTCTTGCTTCAATGTAAGGCTAAAACTCTCCTTCCCTGAGACTGGAAAGTGTCTTTTTATGGCTGCCAAATAGTATCACATTCTATACCATTTCTGCATAATGTTGTCTATTAATAACTTCGATTACCCTTTTTTAAACGACTTTTGTCAACGTGATTGACTTACGAAGCACATCCTTTTGTGCAAACTTATTGAATGGTTTGGGGGATGGCAGTGAAGGGTATTATTGAGCTACCTTCAATTTTCAGATTTTCCATCAGGTTTTGTTGGATTGTTGTTCTGCCACACTGTAACTGTTCCTGGTACAACTCCTTTGCTGATGGTAGTTCTGTGATTTTATACGATATATGGAATCATTTGTATCTCTTTCGAATGCCAAATTGTTACATTCTATGTTTTGGTTGTGGGTAGTTAAAATGGTTTGTTATAAGTTTCATACCTTGTAACTTGCTTTAATGATTACCTGACTATTATTATTATTGTTATTTCTAGTTAAATGTGTAATCACCCACATTTATGTGTCAGCTCTTGACAATATTGTTGTCTAATTTTCTCCCAAAAAATAAAAGGAAAAATAAAAATAAAAGAATATTGTTGTGCAATTGCTTCTCAAGCTATTCTTTCTTTTATTTACTGTTTACTCTTGTACATGGACATGTTTGAGAACACCCTGTGTCATTAATTTCACTTGAGATACCTTTTTGATACTGGCTTTAAGATTTTGGCTGACGAAACAACTATAACAGATAGCAGAGCGAGATTAGTTGCTGGGTCATTTCAAGGATACTCTGGGCATGTTGATGGTAAACCGAGTGATGCTCGTTTTTATCACCCAAAGGGAGTAACCACTGATGACAAGGGAAATGTCTATGTAGCGGATACATCTAACTTGGCTATTCGAAAAATAGGAGAATCAGGTGATACTTCAAACAAATATCATGAACTTTGCACCCTTTGTTTGGAGAATTTTTTTCCCATCATATGACAACTGGCTCAAATTATTTGGTTTCAGGAGTGACAACTATTGCAGGAGGGAAGTCAAGTATTGCAGGGTATAGAGATGGCCCGAGTGAGGATGCTAAATTTTCCACTGACTTTGATCTAGTGTATATTGGAAGTACTTGTTCTTTGCTAGTTGTTGATAGGGGCAATGCTGCTCTTCGTCAAATTTCTCTTCAGCAAGAAGATTGTGATCAGCAGTTTAACTCAATTTCAACTTTAGGTTGGATCTAAATGACTCATAGATTTCTTTTATCGAATAATTTCTTGGTCATCTGTATATTCATGGATATAAGTATGCTTTAACAAATGAATGATGGTATCTTGAGGTATCAATAATCTTTTTAGGCTCTTTCAGCTTATGTATTTGTCCGAATGATTTTGACCATTTTCCATGTGGTCATTTTCACCAAGTCTAAATAACTTTCAGGCCATGAGAAGCATTATACATGTCATCTAACGAGTAATATCTACATCCTCATACTTGTATTGTTTATGTTGTACAGATATCATGATGGTCTTTGGTGCAGTGTTGGCTGGATATATTTTCTGCCTGCTTCAACATGGATTTGGTTCTTGTCTCTCCCAAAGAGTGGTACGTCTTTTATCACACATACCTCCTCACTTCTTATATTAAGAAAACGGCAAGAAAAATAAAAGAATGAAGAAGAAGAAGAAGAAGAAGAAGAATTGAAAAATTCAATTTATAAGAGAAATATTTGGCAGGTTTCCAAGATGGGATTAGTCCCTAAACTTATGATATAAACAAAATGGATTAGTTGCACATAACCCCATGCAGTATCACACTTTGAAACTTACTACTGTCATAGTTTGATTTGGCGAGTGAAATTTTTCACTATTTTACCCTCAGTTATTTGTCAAAAAAATTCTCTTTTTGTGAGGGTAAAAGAGTCAAAAGATTTCACTCAAGTGTCTATCTGCCAAAATCAAAATACATGGGCAATAAGTTCCAAATAGTGATACTGAGTGGGGTCTATTTACCAAGTAGAATCTTTTTTTTTGTTTCCCACGAGGTATCCCCACACCTTATGGATGGGACTAATCCCGGCTCGTGCTCCGTGGCTAGCGCTGGCCTTAGGGTTCTTATTACCCACTAGAGGATTTGAACACGGGGCGTTACACGGCTGCGTCAACACTGCGGATTCAAGTAGAATCTAATAGAGTTTCATTTTTCATCTTTTTTCTTTAATCTCTTTATATCTGGATACTATGTTTTTTACAGGTCACATTGTTTTGATCCTACAGTAGAAGCTTGAAGCTTTAAAATTGAAAGTCTTCAACTAGTGAAATTCGAGAAAAACTGAAGAAAGCACCAATTAGGCCTATATCACAGTACACTGTGATATTTATATTCCTTTATCCAATTCTACATGGATTTGCTAACAACGTTGATTAATTTCATGGACCCATGTTTCCTCGTGTTTTTAGATCAACAATTTATGTTTTTTTTTGACCTGAAATCAACGTATATTTTTTGTTTATACAGAAGCAAGCCTCTGAAAACAAAAAGCTTGATCATCACAAAATCCCAGAGAAGCCAACTCTAGTTGTGGAAAGCCTATCGGAAGAACCAAATGCTGGTTGGCCATCACTCAGTACTCTCCTCTCCGATCTTTTCAAATTCTCAGTGGAAGCAATTGGCAACACACTCCTCAACTTTATCCCTCAAAATCCCATAAAATCAAAACAAGGCCTCACTCCTCTAAAGGATAATCTCATAATGCCTGAAGACCAAACAGAGCCACAAACTATAGCAAAAAAGAAAATAAGCCCTTCTCCCGTCACTGAGACTCTAATTCAAGAAACACCACAATTGAGGCAACACAAGAGCAATAAACAACAGAAATACAAGGATTCTACGGTTTCAAGCAAGCATAGATCATCAAAGAGGCAAGAGTACTCAGAATTTTATGGTCCAAGTGAAGGTGCTCAGTTGAGTTCTAAAGGGCAGAAAGAGAGAAGCAGGCATAGGCATCGAGAAAAAAGCGGAGAAGTTTATTCAGCTGTTGGTGCTGATCCTAAGAATGCTGAGATGAAATCGGTTGAGTATAGTGATGCTAAGTTTGATCAGTATACTTTCAGGAACAAGTATGGCGTAGATAATACATATCGGTATTGAGTTTTGAATGATGTATTGTTGCTTGTTAGACTGTGTTGTATGATGTTGTACTCTAATAGGATTTGGGAAAATGTATAATGATATTAGGACTTGTGTTCCAATGGATTATGTAAGATTACTTCATATCTTTTCTTTTTAGAATCTTTCTAAATCATGGTATTTGCTAATTTGTCTGGCAAATTATGATGGAACTCAAACATTTTCCTCTATTGCATGCTTACCACATGAATTGATCGGTGTAAAGTTGAGCATTGGTGATGATCATATGAGAAAGCCCATGTTTAGAGATTTGTAATTGTATTAAGAATAAAGCATATTTGTTGTAGTCCACGGTTTATATCATTCTTGTAATAATAGGAGGGAATATAATCGACTGTTAACGGCGACCGACTTTGTTTTAAGATAGCAATTTTCTAATTTTTTTTAAAAAACCCCCCCCCC